TATAGCAATAGACTTCACTTCAGACAGGAATTGAATGTGAGATGGATCCTAAGGATTCCGCTGAAACACAAGAGAAGCAAAAGATCAGAAAATGTGGGCTGGTGGGACACGCACTAATAAAGAGATGGGAGATACTATGTACCCTGGAATAAGAGAACAGAAGACACGATCGAGGCTTTTAGGCAGGATTCTGTAAAAGGGCGTTCAATTTCGGTGTTGACACACTTCTAGAGGTGTTCGAAACCATGTTCCTCTGGAAAAGCTTTAGCCTGCGTAGCAGGCGGTATTCGCGGGCACGAGAGAATGGGAAGCTAGAAATACCGCCTGCCCAAAAACTACACATTCTGAGTTCTCCCCGGCAGCTGGGTGCCGGAGCATTCTGATTGGTCAGAATGTTGATTTTGAATTTTTGATTGACAGGAGTAAAGAATTAGAATAATTAGTGCTAATTTTAGAAGTTACTGTTGCCGTATTAAACTATTGCTATTTTCGTAATTGATACCGATATATCGAGTGATGGCATACACTAACCAAAAAATAACGAATGTATTAATTGAGAATTAAGCGTTGAATTCTTTAATCTTTATCTGGAATCGGAAATCGCTTCGTCTTGAAGAATGAACAACGAATATCAATCCAACATTTGTTGCTTGATAGATGTGATACTGTGATAAAAGTGCAGATTTGAAGATACAGGCTCGTAAATGACACTCTAAGTAGTGTTTTTGATAGCGATTGGAACAAGACTATTACAAAGTTACGTCCGAAGGGGCCGAATTTATGTTCGGCGAAAGGTATGGCTAGTAATTATTATTGTTCAGACAATTGCGTAATTTGATAATACACGAACTCGCTTGACTTTCAAAGCTCATAAATCGCTATAATGTTGACATCGACTAAAACTATCGCTATGAATGAGGACATATTGTTGCACTGAATCGAACGTGGTATTTTTGTCTTCATAGCATTGAATGAACCGAAGATATGAAACGTCAAAGCAGTATATTTGTGAGTTTGACAAACAATTACATGTAAAATAAATACATTAATGCACCTATCAATGTTTTCCCCCTGAGGAGGGGGGGTGTGGGTGTGCGGGCAACCCAGGGGAATTTTGACATTTTTAAAATTTTGTCGTCAAAATCCCCACTGTTGGGCAAGGAACAGCTGTCAAAATTCCCCACTATATTCCTAAGATAACAAGGCACACAGATGTTTTCCAATGCGAACATACAGTCTATACTGGTTTAAACCATTGAACTAAAAATAACTGGAACGCTACGTTCAGTAAACTGCGCATGCAAATTTTGAAGCCAAAATTTGACTCCCATGAAGCCAAATGAAGCCAGTTTTGACTCCCAGACACGCACTTCCACGCGTGTTTCTACTGCGCGATTTATTCGCGAGACAATACAGGGGCGCTTGAAGCATGCCGTTTTGAACGTTTTCATGGCAAGATGCGAATCGAAAGGGAAACGGGCCTTTTCAGTTTAAAACGGGCCTTTTAAAGCCTGTGTACGAGCTTGTATAATTTAGCTTCAAACTTCCGCTTGAACGTAGCGTTCCAGTTATTTTTAGTTCAATGGTTTAAACTTGGTAAAAATTGAGACACTGTGTATAAAATACCTTTTTCGATGAAAGTTGATCTTGCTTCTCCGCCATACTTGTTACCAGACCTTTTAATGTCAAAACCGCGCAAATTTCAAGATGGCGGATGTCAAAATTTCCCGACTCTGGGAGTTGATGCATAGGTCAAATTCCCCTCCCCCGTGCTTCATAGTGTGGTCAAAGTCCCCTGGGTCGCCCGCACC